ATAGAATAAAAACACCACACGTTGCAATAACATGAATAATAAAATAAAACAATAACTCAATGTAAAATTTAATAAAGTATAATGTGAAAATGAAGCGTAATTGTAGCACCCGGAAAGGAGAAAAAAAAAAAAAAAAAAAAAAAAAGGGCGGCCACGTCAGCAGCCACGTCAGCAGGCCCGGTCAGCAGTCCCGGCCAACCAGGGCCTGCCACGTGGCAAGACCGCGTCACTCCAAAAGGAGCCACGTTGGCGATCCGCGTGGGTGCGATCCGACGGCCCAGATCAATCACGCGATCGGACGGCCCAGATTCAATCGCACGGACGGCCCAGATTCAATCAAAAACGAACGGCCCAGATTAAAACAAAATGAACGGCTGTGATCAAAAGGCAAGGGGTTATAAATAGAACCTCCACACCAGACCACAAACCCTAGCCGCCAGCCGCTCGCCGGAGAAGACGAACCAGAGGCCGACCGCCGCCACCCGCCGCCACTCGCCGCCGCACCGGGGAAATTTCCGACCGCCGATCGAGGTAAATTTCATACCCCCGACTCGTTTTTCCCCACTGATTCCTCCTATGGCCAAATCGAAGCCGAAATCCCGGCCAAACGGCCGGAATACGCGGCCGAAGCCCAGCGGCGCCGCCGCGCCCCCTCTCGGTTTTTGCCTCCGACGAGGCCCTTCCCGGCCTCCGTTCGATGCAATTTTTATATCACCGTGATCACCATTCTTTTCTCTACAGGTTGACCGGAGTCGAATCACCAAAACACGAACCTCGCCGGAGAGTCGCCGCACCCGAGAGCGCCGCCGCCGGTAAGCTCCGTTTTTTCGTGATTTTTTGGCCCCCCGAGGGCCCTAAGGTTGTTTTCTGACAAGGACCAATGCGAGTGTGGCCGAATTCGGCCGAAAACGGCCGAAAACAGCCAACCCGAGGCGACTCGCCGCCGCCAGCGGCGGCGCCGTCGCCGGAGCACGGCGGAGCCGCCTTGCCGGAGTTGCGATTTGGGCCGAAAGAGGCCCTGGGCCTAATTTGGATTTTTTTTGGAACACGTGCAGGTACTGTTAGTGTGTTTCAGTTCCCCGAGAAAAATTCAGGGAAAATTAGGGACAGCCTGCAGGCGCACTGTGAATCGTATTCGGATCTCGAAAACAAGTAAGGACCCCTCACCCTATTTCCTATCACGGTATTAAAGTTCAAAATGATAAAACGGTATTTCTTGAATTAACGAATGTGTGAAATTGCTTAAGGTAGCTAATGGAGCCCGAGTCTAGTGTGATTGGTGATTTACTGTTATTTGGCCTGTTTACAGCTTTAAATGCAAAATGAGGTTTGATGTGTTCATTTTACAGATTTGTGTGCATATACTACGTTTTGATTAATCATGGGTTGAATGACTGAAAAACTGATACTGTATGTTGTCTGTTTGGCATGAATTACTGTTTGCTTGTTTGTATGTTAATTGATGATGCTGATTGAGGAAAAGGGAAATGAAAGATTGTGTAGACTGATAATTGTATTATGGGGGTCAGCCTGACTAGATATCCTGGGAGATGGTGGACGGACCGGGTCCGTAGGGAACCCTACCGGGATTGTGGTCTCACATGCCGGACGGGGTATGGAGATCTTATGGTTTTGGCGCCCATACCGGACGGGGTATGGGGACGGCCCGTTTCACCCTCATACCGGACGGGGTATTGAGGTTTATGGTTTTGGCGCCCATACCGGACGGGGTATGGGGACGGCCCGTTTCACCCTCATACCGGACGGGGTATTGAGGTTTATGGTTTTGGCGCCCATACCGGACGGGGTATGGGGACGGTCCTGGAAACTGATTATGAATGTTAAAGGTTAACGGGTAGCGGAACCCCTATGGACCCCCACGGATACTAGTAGGCTGGTAAATGAGAAAAAGATATGTTGTACAATGATTGAATTACAAGAGGCGTGATAAGTGTTATGTTTTACAGCTTAGATTATTCAATGATTATGATGATGTTATTGTTTTTCTCATATTGTTTTCATAAATTCCACCAAGGTAAGTGGATGGTAAAGGTTTTCATGTTAATAAACGAGTTTATTGTAAATTATGCTCCATTGGTCTTTTTGTGTTTTTCTACCCACCTTTACCTCCGTGACGGTGAGATATCGTGATGTTCTTACTGGGCTAGTGTAGCTCACTCCTTATTTAACCATTTCAGATCAGGAAGACATGGTTCCCGAGCCCGTTCCGCAGGAGGACGACGAAGGGGATACCTAGAGACTCTGTAGTCATACTCATAGTTTTATCTTCGAGTTTCTCTCTTAGTTAGTTTAATCTTTTATATTTTAAGTACGTTTCTGGTTTTTCGTGTAAGGGATGTTAACTGAAATTTTGATCTCGCTTCCGCATTTGATATATTTAAATACTCATTTCATTTTAATATTTCCGGGGCCGTTACAGTAATGAAGCACACTTACACGATTTAAGGTGCGTGATTAGTATATTGGTTCTAAATTGACATAACGAAAAAAAATGCAAACAGGTTAGGTCAACTGAAAAGAAATAGACTAGGATAAAATAAAATAAAACAAAATAAAATGAAATAAAAATGAATAATTAAACTAAAATAAAAATAATGATAAAAATAATGAATAGGCAACATGAATTAACTAGTGACGAACATAAATAAATCGATTACTGCCTCCATTAACAACTTGTCTTTAATTATCAAGGAATCGCAAACTGTTTAGAATTTTTCATTTATTATTAATTAAATTTTAATTTAACCTGAACATGGAAAAGATTGAGAGATTCTCACTCTGGGTCAGTGTACAGAATACTGCATTTTTCACTACGGTTCATGAAGATTTTTGGTTCTTAGATTTCTTATGTTTTTCTGGTGAAATTTGGAAACACACATCAAACAACATGAAAATACGTAAAGAATGGTGAAAACGGCAGAAAAAAACTCATCGAGGGTCAGGTTGGGTTCTAGTGTGTCGACACCGCCGAGCTCTACCGCCTAGTCCTTCTTCTTCAGTGCTTCTCCCTCTCAACCAAACTGATTTTGGCTAGGCGGGAGGGGGGGGGAGAGGGTTGGCCTTATCGGTAATTTTTATTTTTTGGTGCAGCGGCTTAGCCAAGCTCCATCGTCCCTTTCTCATAGTTTGCAGCTTCTTTTTGTTATTCTACATCGAAAATGATTTAAACAGCTAAGGAAAGAGAAACAAAAAGAACATAAAAAAAATTAAGCTTACCAGTGCACTTTGGGGTTCTAGCACAGTGGTACCGACGTCTCTCCAGCAGCTGAGCTCTCCTCCGACCGCTATTCTTCTTCTTCTCTGGTAACTCTGTGTCAGTTAGGTTTTGGGGCTGACTAAAGAGAGGTTTAAATATCTCTCTTCCACTGATCCTGGCCGTTCATTTTGATTGATGTGGAGCAATGAGGGCCATTCGATTGGGCTTATTCGGAAAATCGATCTAGGTTATCCATTCGGGTTTGCGTGGAACAACAAGAGCTGTTTGATCGAGCTTATTTGGAGAATTAATTTGGGTCGTTCATGCATGTGGGAGTAGACATAAATCGTCTCATCTTCCTGGCACGCGAATTGCTAGCGTAGGCTTCCGTGTAGAGCCTGTGTTGATGTAGCCACCACGCGGTGAGCAACGATTCGTTGTGTTGCTGACTGGGCATCCACGTGGCCCATTTTTTCTTTTTTACGAATTGACTCATGTTTTCAAATTTGTCTTTCAAATGTGTTCATCTTTATTTACAATTTGACCCTAATTTCTGAAATTTGTTTTCAAAGGTGCCCAAAATGTATATATTCATCTTAATAATTATTTTTCTAAGTCTTTCAAATAATAATAAAAAAGAAACTTAGCTGTTATTATTATTTAAAAAGATTAAAATTCACTATTCTTGGCCAAATTTTTCGAACTCGGGTTGTTACAAAATAAATGACCGAATTCATTTTAAATATAAAGAATATTTAATACTTAATTTAACAACAAACAAATATATTTGCAAGCTTTGAATCTAAATAACTTTACGTTTTAATTTAATTATTTTATTTATCCAAGTATGTTCAAGTTCAATCTCTATTCATTTTTAAGAATTGAAAATATAGCTTGTTGGTAAAGCATTTAGATTGAGTTTAATTAAATATGATAAAAAAATCAAATAAAAATAAAAATATAGTTCAAAATAATTTTATGATTAATTTAATTATATGTTTCTTTTTCAATTTTCTTATTGATAAGTAATATTATAAATTTATAATTATAAAATTAAAGATATGAACGAAGTTTATTAAATTATGCATAAAATATATAAACTGTAATTAATTTTCATATATCAAAGACCTCCTAAGATATATAAATTAAATGAAACTACAATAGGCCTGAATTAATGCAAGGTTTTCAAATCTCAATTGTAATTATTCGTCTTCTTTAAAAGAATTAAATTTGAATCTTAATTTAAATTAGATAAAATGATATTATTAAATTAAATTTTACATTACTATTTTGTTGGTTATCCCATTTTAAATTTAAAATCTTTGATATGAAAAAATATAACGGTATTGTTAGAACAAATTTAAATTTATGTAGAATTTATTTATATATTGACACTTACATATATTTTAGAAAAATGTTAATATTTTGTTATAAAAATTTATATATTTTATTAATTATATAATAAAATAAATTACGTCAACCAATTATTTTAATTCAATATGTAAAAATAAAATAAATGATTTACCTTACCAAAATATAAAAGTGAATTTAATATTGATTTAATAAATAAAAAGATAAATATATTTACAAATTTTTAATCTACATAGTTTTAGGTTTAAATTCAAATTTATCCATTTAATGGGCAACTTGCATTTTGTTTAATAAATATTTAAACAAAAATATAATATTTCCAAATAAAAACCCTCTCCGCTGTCTCTTTCTCATACATATATATAATATATATTATATGTATATATATATTTTTTCTTTTGTCAATTTCTCCGTCTGGTAAAAAGAAAAAATTGTGACATGCAAACCGAAAACATGATCAGACGATTCACACGACAAAAGAAGTGAAGCGGGTGGACCGTGGGCCTCCTTTCACTTTTCGGGATTCTCTCGTCGTCTTCTTCTTCAGCAGCCTTAGATTAATTTACCGTCGCGTAATTGACCAGGACGCCGAACGCAGATACAGAGAGAGAGAGAGGGATAGAGATAGAGAAAGAGCGAGGGAGAGGAATTTCATTTTGATCGCGCCATTTAATATTGTGCGATCATGTCATTTTCCTTCTTCAAGCCGTCTCGTCCCAAAACCCCGCCGGAGGTGGTGAAGGCAATCAAGGACAGCCTCCTGGCTCTTGACACCAAAACAATTGTCGAAGTTAAAGCCCTTGAAAAGGTCTGTTCCGTGTAGAATTTTTAGAGAGAATTTCAATGTCAGTGTTAGATTTTTCGATTGGGTTTGAAGGGAGTGAAGGACAGATTTCATAAATGCAGGATTTCCGAGTACGGGTTTTGGGGTTGTTTTCTCCAGTGTTTTATCACTGTCATCTTTCTTTTTCATATAAATTTTGATTCTGTACTCTATTAAGATGAAATGTGGAATCAGGGTTCGAATTTCGTTATGGGGTGAGTTTCAATTTCTTGGTGATGTTTGATTTCGTCATGGTTTTCTACCAATTGTGCTATTGTTGAAGTCTATGATATACTCAGTCTTCTTATATCTGGGAGTTAGAAGCTAAATTCAGAACTGAACTTTTTAGTCTTCTTAGAAATATTCTTCTAGTCTATGATTTCTCAACAATAGTGTAGGACCTGAATATTCTTTCTCAATCAAAATACAGGCTCAAGAAGAAGTTGAAAAGAACATTGTTACATTGAGATGCATGCTTTCGGGAGATGGGGAAGTTGAACCAAATGTTGAACAAGTTGTACTGTTAGCCACTGAAATTTGTAAAGAGGATGTTATTGCTCTTCTTATTCACAAATTACCTGTCCTTGGATGGGAAGTAAGTCTCTCTATGACTTAATTGATCATAATGGTTGAGTTTAGTCAATTTTATAGTCAAATCACTAATACTTTGATGCAGACAAGAAAAGATTTAGTGCACTGTTGGTCCATATTGTTGAAGCAGAAAGTTGACTCCACATACTGCTGTGTGCAATACATGGAGAATCATTTCGAGTTGCTTGACTTTCTTGTTGTCTGGTAAGGTTGTGAAATGTTTTTCCTTCTTATTCCTTTGAAGTTCAACTTTGAGTGACAAGTATATACGAGTCTCTGCGCTCAAATTTTTACCTCCTAGATAGAAAACGTGTGTAGTTTCACGAGCTTCTTTAGCTTCTTTTTTTTTTTTTTTTTTAATTTTTGATACTTGATAGTTTATCCTCTCATTAGGAATAAGCCATAGGTAGTGTTGATTTGTGAAATGTAGAAATGCAATTATGTAATCCATGTTCTCTTGTTTTTCTTTTTGATAATCTGTTCTCTTGTTTGATTCATTTTGTTGTATGTTTTTGAGGTGAGCTGCTAATGGTTATCGACTTTCTAGATTTTGGATGTTAATGTCCTAGCAGATTGGTCAAATTTGATGGAAGGACTATGATGCATTATGCACAATATATTTGTTCTATTAGCTTTCTAGAACTATTTTATTGTTAAATTCAATATCATGGCATTGCACGTGACATCTTGTTATCACTTATGAGCAGCTACGATAACAAGGAAATTGCGTTGCATTGTGGAAATATGCTGAGGGAGTGCATCAAATTTTCTACACTTGCTAAGTAAGAGATTCAAGCTTTTTTAACCATTTCTTCGACAATGAATTTAGTTAATCACATAGAAGCTTTGTTGTTAACTTCAACAATGCAATAGATTTATTTAAAGAATATTCTACTATGCTTGCTATCTTCCTCTTTGACATATACACATATTTCTGTTGTTCTTCTTTCAAAGTGTAAATATATATGCATGAACTTATATTCATGTACAGTATCAAGCTGGTTAAGTTTACAATAACAATGACTAATGTTCTCCTTGTTCAAAAAAATAAAAAGAATAATATTCTCTTGGCATATGAAAATAAACAAAAAGAGTATGCTTATTAGCAAGAATATAATATGATTATTAGCTGTCTTAAGTTACTGATTTGAAGAACTATTTACTTAATGAATAAGATGAAGAGGACGTCCTAATAAAAAGATATTTAGGGGCATTCTTTGTGCCAAATACTTATAAACAAGCTTGATGCATGTGATGGAGAAAATGATAAGCAAGCTTATAAACTTATTATGGCTAAAAGAAGATAAAGAACATATAAACAAGCTTGAAGTTGGTTTGAACTGAGTTTTGACTCAGCTAAGCTTAAATTGTTTGTCGACAGACTCTGCTCAATGCTAGCCTAAACATATATGAAGAATTAAGAAATTCCTCTTCTTCGTGATGACCAGAAAAATAGGTTGATTGAATGAAATCTGTATGTAGTGATGACCAGAAAAATAGGTTGATTGAATGAAATCTGTATGTAGTCTTAAATTGGCTTGGGTTGATTCTGCATGTTATTGCCAAGCAGTTACCCACTAGAAAACACTTTTATATAAGCTAAAATAAAATTAGCTTGGTGAAAATTGGAAATACCCCTTATTTTAATACGACAAGCATGATTTTAGTAATAGAGAACGGTGATTTAGCTTGAGAATTTGAACTGTTGTTGACCATTTAAAATTTTTGTACATCTTTTGTTGCAACTGAAGTTCTTAGCTGGCTATAACAGTATCATGTAGTATTAAAAAAAATGCCATCCAAGTCTCTGCTTCCCTGGGATATTGTTCTTTTTCATGCAAAATTGTTTGAAGTTATGAACAAGTTTCAATTTTTTCACACAGTTAATTTATGTAGCAATTTTTCAGATACATATTAGAGTCTGCAAGCTTTCAGTTATTCTTCAAATTTGTGGAGTTACCTAACTTTGACGTCGCATCTGATGCATTTTCAACATTTAAGGTCAGATCCGGTAGGATGTTAGTTCTTATGTTTGATTCTATTTACCTGATAAATTCTTTTTACCCTTAATTAATTTTTCTCGCATGTACATCCCTAATGGATTTTTCACAGGATCTGCTTACTAAACATGATTCTGTGGTCTCCGAATTTTTGACTGCTCATTACGATGAGGTATTCTTGCTGTCCTGGATATATCAGAAATGTTGTCTGTATCTGTTGGTTGGAATACTTTCCACCTAGATCTGCTTGGGCAAGAATTTCTTCGAGGATAAGTTAAAGCCACCTAATATCTTTTTTTTTGTTGGTGACAATCAAGTGCACCTAACTCCTGGTTTTATGTAAATGGGCGGTGTGAAGTGAGCTGTAAAAATAGCTTCAGTCTCAATTATCATGCTAAAGCTACTTCCTTTTTTTTTTCTATTTTTCATTTTTCTTTTACTTTTACCTTACATAATATAGCATTGTTATCCAGTTCTTTGATGTATATGAAAGGCTCCTCACATCTTCTAATTATGTGACCAGACGTCAATCACTGAAGGTAATTTCTTGACTAAAGTTTTCTGTTTTTTTTTCTTTCATATATAGTTCTGATATAATGTTTTAACAATAAAATATTCATGATTTAGCTTCTCTCGGAATTCCTGTTGGAGGGTTCAAATTCCCACATCATGAAGCGGTACATTCTAGAAGTTCGGTACTTGAAGGTCATGATGACGTTGCTGAAGGTATTGTATGATGTATAGATGTGCGTATATTTCACATCAGAGTTATTTTGGCATTGTTATGTCACGTAACTCATTCCCATAGAGAATACATACGCAGCCATGAGGTTCAGTAAAATCTTGTAGTTTTGCATGACTGAAAATGTACACGCTGTATATCTCCACATCAGAGTTATTTTGGCATTGTTTTGTCACATAACTCATTCCATGGAGACTACATATGCCGCCATGAGATACAGTAAATCTTGTAGTTTTGCATGACTGAAGATACGCATTTCAATTTCTTTTGCGTCAGTTTTCTATTTATGGTTGTAAACTCTGAACATGTGTTTAGTAATGGAAATTCTAATAAACTATTCCCACTTTGTTTTCACGTGCCAAATCCCAATCTCTTGATCTTGGATGCTATTAGAATTCATCTGTACGTCACCTTCTCAATATTTTCCAATATGAGTATGCTTCTACTTTGATTGAAGTTGCCCCATGTTGCAAGCCTGATGGTTTTCCTAGTTGTCCTATGTTAAGGATTTTTCACACATCACTTATAGGGGTGCCCTTTTTCCAAAATGCATATAGCTGAGTTACACGGTGGAAGCTCTCTTCTTTTCTTTTTCTGCAACCTAGGGTCCGTTTCATGAGGAAGCAAGAGGAAAGGAGGTAAGAGAAGGGATAAGGGTAATTTGTTCCTTGTAATAATTTATTAGTTTCCATAGCGGAGCAATTTATATCCAATACCTTGACCCTGACAAACATTATGGTATGAGGACCAAAAAACCCTCTTTCTCTCCCATTCGCTTCTCTTTCTTACTCTCCTCTCCCATTCCCTTCTCCCAAATGGGCCATAAATATGAGTTGAAATCAATCTTGGTCCTTATGCAGCAGAAGTGACTTGCATCAATTAAGCTAGATAACATCCAAGAAACTGTTCGACAACTGTCTAAGAAACCTTGGTTATCTACTATAGAAAGAAGGGCAGAAAAGTAATTTCATCCACAGAGGGAAAAATGGTAAATTCGCCCGAACAGATTAGAGTTAGCGTTGAATCACCGAATCAACCCTAACTGTTACACCAGATCCCACGGCCACCACTGCAACCAAAACGGCCGTGCAATGTCCGCCTCCAACTCCATTCGTCTTCAATACTTCTAGCCTATAAATAGACTCGATTTATGAATGTACATCATCAAAGAAAACAAAGAATTTTACTGCAAAATCTCTCCTTTTTCATCTGTTCTTTCTCTCTTTCTTTTCTCAGATTAGAATCCATGAGTGAGGCTTCTCACAACAACTGATATGGATCATTCTGATTCCTGCTGCCTTCTTGTACGTGTTATCACCCTTTCAGTGAGAGTTCTTTATCAGCGCCTGGTAATAGTTCTGGTTATAGAAGACTTACCTGTTTTGGTGCGGGCATGACATTAGGTTGAAGGCACTTCCTTTTGGGTTTTTATAAATCTGATACTGATATTAGTTGCAAACAGTCATGAAAATACCATTTTATTAGCCTTCCATGGAATACTCTGTCATAAAGCAACTTGTTTACAGTTGTTCCTTCTTTTTGTTTCAACTTTATATATGTTATTTTTCTTTATTTGAGCAGGATTCGAGCAAAAACATTCAAATCTCTGCTTTCCACATTTTCAAGGTACTTGGATCTCTCATTCCTTCTCCCATCTAACAGTATTATTCACCTTTCCTGTGTAAGAGGGTGCTTTGCTTACTTTATTTTGAAATGTTTGGTGACATGTTTGATGATTAATGAATAGCTTTTGCAATAGTATTTTTTGAAAACTGTTAAAAGAGTTGGTTTTTCTTGAAGAGCTTACAAGCTCTTCAAAATAAGTTTGTGATAATCAAGTAAATGATAGTATTACTCTACCTTTCTTGAACTTGAATACTTTTAAGTTCTAAAAATATATAACTTTTTAAAGTTTTTACTTTTGCAATTAAATATAACATATGAGTGTGTTCTTTGTTAAAACAGCTTAATAGATTTTTTATTATTTTAAGGTAAGCTAAACTTTCAGTTGAATCTGAACTGGAGCTTTGCAATTTGGATTCAGCAAGTTTTGAACTTCAGTACATGGTTTTCTGAACAGATTCTGTTGAAAACTAGTATGTCTATTTTTCCTTGTGCAATTAAGCATTAAAATTGATTCTGTTGTGATTGCTACCTAAAGAACACATCTCTTAAGGAAGACGCTATTTGTGATGGGTTGCCATGAGAAAGAAACTGATCAAGTAAAAGTGCTTGCTGAGCACTAGTAGAAGAATGTTAAATAGTTGCACTCAGTTGACTTTGTTCAGATAGAAGTCTCCCGTATCTCTCATGCAGGTTTTTGTTGCTAATCCTAATAAGCCACGGGAAGTTAAGGTCATTCTGGCAAAAAACCATGAAAAGTTACTGGATCTTCTTAAGAATCTCTCTGGTGGGAAAGGTTAAGTCCAAAACACATGCTAATGTTAGATTTCCATTTTGAAAACTTTTCAGGAATCAGATTCTATAAGATTTATGGACAATTAAGTGTTTATGTATCATTTCAGGTTCCGACGATGAACAATTTGATGAGGAAAAGGAACTGATTATCAAGGAAATCCAAAGAGTGGCTCGCCTGCCACACCTTGATCGGTAGGTACCTTATCATGGGTATTTTCCTCTCTAACAATATTCCATTTTGTACTTAAATGTTATTTCTATATGATGGCAAAGGAAATAATACTTTTGCTGATGGAAGAACGAAGTTGTTAATGGCAGGATCTAAAAGCACTACTTGGAGTTTGACGTATGAAGAAAGTTCGCCTTGTAATCTTATGGTACTACATGCATGTGATATAGGGTCTGTAAAAGTGTCTGGTTTTTTATATTGAGTGGTCTTTAATGTTATGATGGTGTAATTCCCATTCTGATATGGTTTGTATTGGATATGCTGAGGGTTGAAAGCATTTCCTGAATGACCCAAAGTCACTGTAACATAACCGAAACTTCCTTTTGGGATGCAGTAACATGTTTGAAGCGTCTCTTGTAACTCATGATTGAAGCCTCTTTTCAATAAAGAAAGTGTTAATCATTTTCTCATCTTTAAAACATTTCCCTTGTTCTTTTACTGTTGCAGCAGCCGGTCTGATACAAGCGTGCACCTCAAGTTACGAAATCCTAGCATTCTTGTTGGCTACATATAAACCCAGTACTGTTTGTATTATCCTGTGTTTTGGTAGATAATACAGCTGCATCCCATTGTCTCTCATTCATCACAGGGTTCATATTTGGTCATCTGGATGTATGCTTTTCATCGCACTCGTTTATGGGTTGTGGGAAATATTTTTTCTGCTGTATGTTTTGTATATGTGATGTGATGCCTTTGGGTAAAAAGTGTTTGTATTGTTAGTGTAGAGAAGGTATTAGGTGTAAAGTTAGTAGAGGATCCATTCTAATTGGTAGGGTATAAGTCTCTTACCACCTCTGTAAGTGCCTCAACGTGGTTTCATCAAAGCTTTCTTTATACAACACAAGGAACCAACTTTCTCAAAAAAAATAATGTTTTAGTTTATGCCCCAGAAGTCAATTCTTCAATACGGATAACATGGCGGCTTCAGTAATAGAAAATTGCCCAAAGTTCAAATTCAAGTAATTTACGATATAATATAAAAGACTTTTTACACAATAAGATTCTCAATCCGTTCAAGGAAACAAGAGAACTTGAGAATGTTTTTACCCCATGCGCAGTTGCGGATGTGAGATTTACCGTCAGGTACAGTAAAAATCTGACACTTAACTATTTACCATATATTTTCAGTAATTACCTATTAGCTTGTTTAAACTAATTTAATTAAAAACTCAATTATCACCGCTTAATCCATAATTCCCCTTAAAACAGTTTTGCATATTTGTAAATTAAAGTATGTCGTTGCCGCATTTTTCTTTTCACTTTCAGATTCAGTTTAGGCAGCTGACATCGACATCTGCTTCTCCAGGCAACATTCCATCTCTTCTTTTTATATTCTCTTCTTCCTCATTCCCTGTTTCTTACGCGTGATCCATCCAGAGGCATAACCTCTTCCCGTCCAAATTTCAGTTTCTCCTAAAACATCCCAATGAATTTCTTCAACTCTGTCTTCTCCGACGACGCTCCGCAGTCCTCCGATTCCCCCGCTTCCCCTGATTCCCAACCTCAGAGCCTCGCTACGGTCTCAAGTTCCTCCTCCGCTCCTTCTCCATGGAGCTTCGGTGGCTTAATCAAAACCCTAGCGGCTAAATCCGAGTCGGTGATTGAATCCTACCGTCGCGACTTCGAAGAATTCGGGTCTGAGCTGAAGAAGGAGACTGCTATTATTGGGGAAGTGGCTTCCCGCGCTGTTAAGGACCTTCCTGATTCACTTGAGGTCGGGGCTACTGTTGCTCAAGAATCTTTAGAGTCGGTGGGCCAGGTTATCGACGATATCGGTGCCTCCGTATGGAAATCCACGGCTCGGATCATCTCTAACGGTAGGGACACCCTCTTATCATCATCGTCGGATAATTATGATTCCGATTCCAATTCCTCTAGTAGAAGATTTGGTTATGGTATCAATAATAGTGTTAATCATGGTTTAGATGGGAAACCATATAGTCGTTTTCAGATGCAAATCCGTGCGTATCAGTGCGATATAAGCACGTACTGTTCGGAACCGGAGGATTTGGAGGATTATACGAAGTGGAGGTTAGGTTTTGTAGTGGAGGAGAAGAGCGGGGAGATCGAGGAGGTGATTAAGGAAAATTTGGTGGTGAAGGAGATATACAATCATGTTGTACCAAGTCAAGTTGATAATGAGACTTTCTGGAGCAGGTATTTCTACAAGATGCATAAGCTGAAGCAAGCAGAGGATGCAAGAGCTAAGCTTGTGAATAGAGTGATCTCCGGGGAGGACGAGGAGGATTTGAGCTGGGATTTTGAGGATGATTGTGAAGAGGATGATGGATCTTTCTCGAAACCCAATTCAAGTAGGAATGCAAACGAGAATTTGAAGGATGCCATGAATGCAAGCAACGAGAACTTGGAAGAAAGAGAGAGTGAGAAAGTGGGTTTGGTGGAGAAGGTCGATAATGGTGAGTCTTCATGTAAGGACAGTGATCTGTCTGTAGTATCAAGCCAGCCTTCATTTCCTGATGAAGAAGAACTTGGGTGGGATAAGATTGAAGATACTGCAAGCAATGATGGGGATAAAAAGGTAGAATCTGTTGAGAATGAGAATGGAAATAGAGTTGATTTGCGCAAGCGATTGAGTCTGGCAGAGAAAGAAGAGGATTTGAGCTGGGACATTGAAGACGAAGATGAAGATGAGCCAATAAAATCATGATCTTGTTGTTGTCAGTCCATGGATGAGATAAGAATTCTCAACTTATAAACTTGAGCTTAAAGCTTGCTTGTTGGTAGATCCTATTTATTGTGTAAATATCACGTTAGTTTCAGGTTTTATAATTTTAATGCATAGAGATACCTTACAGAAATTTTTTCTGAACTTTTTAATATTCTAGAAACTTTATAAAATTTATTTGCAAATTCATATTTTATTCAATACTTCAATTAAAGTTTAAATCAAAATGATAAAAATTGATCTTACTTTCAATTAAATCAAAGCATTCTAACTTCTTTAATTTCACTGTCACTTCAGAAATTATCTTCATTATATTCTAGTTGAACTTAGTGTAGATTTTACAAATGAATTATAGGAAAATTTTAAATTTATTCCAAACATAACTTAAAATCTCTTCTTCTATCTCCACTTTCATGCTTTTGGATTTCACCCTGATGTGAACTGTTAAAATATTAATAATATATGCTCCAAGAGAAAATGAAGGCTTGTGTAGCAGTAACAGCACCCTGTATCTTCAAAGAAATTTCTTTTTCTTTGGAATATCTTCTGCTGCTGTGACCATGGTTTCCTCGTTCTTTCAACTTCTGTACAGAAGATGTTGGGATTGAATAACTTGTTTGCATTAGATCATTTAGTAGTAAGGGTATTCTAGGATTAGTTTTTCTGTATCGAGACTAAATATGTTCACTGTAACGGCCCCGGAAATATTAAAATGAAATGAGTATTTAAATATATCGAATGCGGAAGCAAGATCAAAATTTCAGTTAACATCCCTTACACGAAAAACCAAATAAACGTACTTAAAATATAAAAGGTTAAACTAACTAAGAAAGAAAACTCGAAAATAAACTATGCGTATGACTACAGAGTCTCTAGGCATCCCCTTCGTCGTCCTCCTGCGGAACGGGCTCGGGAACCATGTCTTCCTGATCTAAAATGGTTAATTAAGGAGTGAGCTACACTAGCCCAGTAAGAACATCACGATATCTCACCGTCACGGAGATAAAGGTAGGTAGAAAACCACAAAAAGACCAATGGAGCATAATTTACAACAAAACCTTTTATCAATAATAAAACTTTTACCATCCACTTACCTTGGTGGAATTTATGAAAACAATATGAGAAAAACAATAACATTATCATAATCATTGAATAATCTAAGCTGTAAAACATAACACTTATCACGCCTCTTGTAATTCAATCATTGTACAACATATCTTTTTTTTTTTTCATTTACCAGCCTACTAGTATCCGTGGGGGTCCATAGGGGTTCCGCTACCCGTTAACCTTTAACATTCATAATCAGTTTCCAGGGCCGTCCCCATACCCCGTCCGGTATGGGCGCCAAAACCATGAACCTCAATACCCCGTCCGGTATGAGGGTGAAACGGGCCGTCCCCATACCCCGTCCGGTATGGGCGCCAAAACCATAAACCTCAATACCCCGTCCGGTATGAGGGTGAAACGGGCCGTCCCCATACCCCGTCCGGTATGGGCGCCAAAACCATAAGATCTCCATACCCTGTCCG